TATACATACATACATATATATATATATATATATATATATATATATATATATATTCCGAAAGAGAATATTGAATCTAATTAAGTCGTAAAGATGTTTAGGATAGTATTTTGCGCAGTTAGCAAAAATAGCGTTGTGTTGCACAGCATGCGTTTGCTCATCCAGATGCGTTGAACTAAGAATCTATCTTCCATAGATGTCGTAGTTGTCTTTGAAAGCGATAGCATAAAAATTATTTTATGTAGTTGATGATATCTACTTTAATTAGACAAAGTATGCTGTCTTCGTTTTTGTCGCTTTATAATGATTAGCGAAAGCATTTCGTCGCTTCGTACATCGATAGGATCGTAGTATAAGTGTTGACGTCTGTGATCCTACCATTACTGGCGACACATCTCTTTTTTGGAGTTTATAAGGTCGATTCACTTCTATTGATATGTTTATCTGCTCACAGAGACAAGCGGCGAAGAAAGAGCAGAATCCTTACATGACTAGAGCAATGTTTGAAGAGCAGATGAAATCTCAAAGAGCTCAAAGTGCTGATGCCGGTGAGAATTACTTGTCGCTTGATGAGTACAAGTTATTCTAATCGTTTATTAGTATTTCGCAGTTAGTTTGAAGTAGCTTAACCTTTGTCTGGTTCCTGAAACACCTATGTCGGTTTTCAGAACGTGGTGTTATCCCAACCCGATGGCAGAAATTTTGTCTCGTTATAACAAGAATGTATCAGAGTCAGAGCGAGATCCCGCAATATGTAGCGTAAGTTCTCTTCATTAATTTTGCTTATCATACAAGTCGAATCAACTTGACTTCTGGTCTTGAAATGATTAATCATTGTTGCTGCACATATTCCCACTTGCTCGTGTTTTTTTCAGAAATGGCACCATGAACAGAATGCACGATCGAATGCGAGTTGTGTTCATCTGTGTAGCTGTCATCTGTTTTTTCGTTCTATTTTTCTACTTTGAATCGCGAACAGCAAGCAAAATTGCTCGCGACCGTGATGCAATTGCGTCCAGAAATAATTAGCTAAAAGTTCGTGTTCTTTTAGTTATCTAGTTGAAAAAGTAATATTTTTGATCCCTTTCATCTTTACTACCTCACTCTGTCAATAATATGCACATCTGAAGCATTTTGTTATGTGGGTCTTCATAGGTTTCTATATTTTTCAACAAAGCTGTGTAACCCTCATCCTATGCAGGTGAGACTAGATTTCTTTGTTTCATGAGGAGCGCAAGCAGAGAATGTGTTATAAACAGCATAGAAAAAATCATTTTTGTGGGACTGATTGTTGTGCTTAGCACCTACAAATATTCCTTCTTGATGTAATATAATGTATAGAATAAAGAGATTAATTAGTTTCTTCTAGCTAATTTGTTAAATCACCGTTTTTCTTTGTCGTCGCCACCTGAATGGTTCATGGAATGTTGGTTCGATTTAGATTCGCGCCCTCTCTCGATGCTACCTCATGTCATGGATAGAAGGACATGGTGAGATTTTTTTATCTAATTTATTTTTCTCTAAATCTTTCACTTCATTTAGGTACAAACAGAACTCGATCGAAGAATTTAATCCGTCTAATGTGACGTGTGTGTTGGAGAAGATGTTGATTCCGGAAAGGACCTAGTCACTTTTCGGTGAGCGAGTTCGCGGTCTAAGTTTTTATTCATTTCTTTTAAGTTTACCTTATGCAATATAAATCTGTTCTCGACTTCCCGTAACATGTTATATCGATGACTTTGTTCACTTTTCTTCTACTTTCCAGTGGGTGCAGAGAACTTAAATAAGTCACTTTCTTTTTTTATGTTCGTATTTTTCTTTAAATTTCATCTTTTGATATGAAATTAGTCTCTAATTTATTTCTCATCGTTGCTCGCTTGAGCGAAAGTACGAGGCGAACATGGCGAGCCAAAAATACGAATAAAGAGTGGTTTTTCGTACAAATTGATTGATTCTTATCATGTTTCATTCAATAAGACCATCGAATCCTTAGTGCGATGATCTGTGTCACTTCAGAGAAGAATGATAGCTCATTCAAACTCTGGGACTGAGTAATCATAATATGATCATTAAGGGCTAGGATCTACTAATATTGGGGAATCATTAAACGAGAGCGATCCCGCGCGTGGATCTCGAACAGCTGTCTGCTACGACAGCATCTTCGAATTTGACTCTTTGTGCAATCACACAGTTGAATAGAATTTGAATGCTGGCTGTAGTATCTTCGATAATGTTAGAAAGTTTGTAGATAGTTTGAATAATGCGTTGGGTAAGTTAAAGCGCACTCTGTCGGGCACAGATCAATTGCTCGTCTTGTAGTTCTCTTTCAGCGCTTTTTGTTCTCTGTCCCTTCAGACGTTCAACGCCCTTTTTGCACAAAGTACAACTATCGACGAATCGCGGTTTGTAGGAGAGGTGGCTACGCACTCCTTTGCTCCTATCGCGTTGTACTGTCCTCTCACCTTCACATCTGCTCATAGAATATGAAGACATCTTATGGTTCTCTTTTCACTTCCTGCAGTCTTTCTGCAATAAGTAAAGGTAACTGTATAATCATGAATTTCTTTCGACCTACATAGTCGTGCTTCTTAGTGTTTTTCCATTCTCCACTACAATTGCTGAGTATTACGGTTGCACAATTATAGCAAATTTCCTTTATTTCTCTCTCAAAACTTCTCATTTTTTTCTGAAGTGGCTTGCCGAGTTTAGGCGGTAGCAGATACTGCGTAAAAAAACGGATGCGAAGAAAAAGCAAAACTGAGAATTGAAAATAGCTTGTAATCTCCTATCCATGATGATTTCTGAGCTTGATCATCTACGGGATATAGTCGGTTTCTGAACTCAGTGGACTTGTACCCATAGTTCACCAGCTGATTGACATCATTAAATTAGGTCAACTGTCATTGTTAACTTTCGGCTACA